AGCCTTGGGCAACTTGACGAGACCTCATCTCTACAATAGATTAAAAATTGGCCAGGCATGGTAGCGTGTGCCTATAGTTCTGGTTACTTGGAAGGCTGAGGTGGAAGGATCGCCTAAGTCCAGCAGGTACCTGGGTGACTGTGAGTGTGCTACTGCACTCCAGCCTGGGCGACAGTGATACTCTAACTCAAAAAAAAAAAAGTGCAGAAGACCTCAGGAAGGAGGCAGGACTAGGGTAGCTCCTGACAAAAGGACAATGGAGGGAGGGCCCTACTGACCAAGGAGCACTTCATTCAGCAAAGGTCACTTCTTACCTGAGGAGCCCCTGCTTCAAATAAAGGTCAGGACTAGAGTCTCATCTGCTGCACATCCTCTCGTCTCACCTCCCTTCATTGACTGCTTATTTTCTGTTCAAATCATAACAGAGATTCAACTAGGAAAGCTAATTTTTTCTCTTTTAGAGATGGGGTCTTCCTATGTTGCCCAGGAGAGCAGCGGCTATTCACAGGTGTAATCACAGTGTACTATATCCTTAAACTCCAGGGCTCAAGCGATCCTCCCACCTCAGTCTCCCACGTGACTGGGACTATGGGCACATACCACCACATCCAGATAGGAAGGCTGTTTTTGTTTTATAATCTCTCAAGATGTGTTTGTTTATTGGATTCCACAAATTGTCTTTTTAGAGCAGGAAAAGCAATGATTTAGTTTCTCTAACGCTGCAGTAAGTGGTCTCATGTGGCTGGAGTAGAGAGTGTAATCTTGGTAGTTTTTAAGAAATATACTGCTGGGTGTGGTGGCTCATGCTGGTAATCCCAGCAATTTAGGAGGCAGAGACAAGAAGATTGCTTGAGCCCAGGGGTTTGAGATCAGCCTGGGCAACTTGGTGAGACCTTGTTTCTACAACAAATCAAAAAAAAAAAAAATTAGCTGGGTGTGGTGGCACATGACTGTGGTTCCAGCTACTTGGAAGACTGAGGTGGAGGGATTACCTGAACCCAGCAGGTCGAGGCTGTGGTGGCTGTGAGTGTGCCATTGCACTCCAACCTCTGTGACAGAGTGAGAATCCGACTCAAAAAAAAAAAAAAAAAAAAAAACCAAAAAAGAAAAGAAATATACTAACTGACATTTCTGTGAGCAAAGACTTTGAATAAACAACAAATCCTTTCTCACTGGTCTTGCTGTGCTTGTCAGAACAGTTCTTTTTCTTAATAATGCTTGTTCCCTCCAGATGGTAGGCTCCAGGGGGAGTCTGCCAGTGGAATCCTCCTTCTAGACTTGGACCCAGATGCCTTTAGGACATGGTTTACTGCCCTCAGAGTGTAAAGGATGCTGGCCTTTCAGGACTCTGGTTATGTGGCCTGGATCTGTCATCTAAACTCACCAGGAAAACATTGAGAAGCAAAGCAGATCTGATTTCACCAAGATACAAGAAAAGAAAAAATGCTTGTAAGAATGCCATGGGAGTTAGTGGAGACATGAAAGAGAGAAGGCCTAGGAATAATGACCTCTGGAAGCATCTCACATTCTCAAACCAAGGAACAGCCAATCAAAGAGAGAGACAGAGAAGAGAGAGCGAGCTGAGAGGACAGAGAGAGAGAGAGAGAGAGAGAGAGAGAGCGAGCTGACAGGAACATGAAACATGAAAAAAATGGGAGTGAGAGAGATGGGAGTGGAGATGGTCTACATATGGCAAGTCATCTTCTCCTCTTTAAAATCCATCAGAGATTCCATTACACCTGGAATAAAACCCAATACCCTTTCCCTGGGCCTCTCCTCTGTGTCCCATTCCTGAGATCCATTAGGCTGACTCTCACCTTGGAACCCTAACACATGCTTGGAACACTTCCTTCTAGATCTTCCCATGATCCCTGCCCCCCCAATTCAGTCTCTGCTTCTGGTTTACCTCCTCAGATAGGTCTTCCCTGGCTTATCAGACTGTAACAGGCTCTTACACACTAGAGCAAGAAGAATAATTCTGTACTCCCCAACTTCCCACCACCACTATTCCTAGCCTTCTTTCAATGGAGGCTGCATTTTCCCTGCTTTTCCTCATCAACATAGATAAGCCTGGTCACCTGAGCTGATCTAATTCCAGAACACAAAACCTGCTTCTTTGGCCAGCACAATCTGATTTCAGGTAAGAGGAGGTTCTCCTCAGGGTAATTGACATATTTAAAATTGCTCTCAGACCTTCCAGGGGTCCTGGCTGGGAACTGGCAGCCAAGTGGGTTAAGGCAACCGGCAACTGGAAGATGTTTAAATAGAAATATTTCCAGAGAAAGAAGAGAATAAAAATATATGTGGGTCAAAGAAAAGAAGGCAGAAGAACCATAAGAGTATCTGAGGGCCAAACTCCCCTAGGGCAGAAGGACTGGGGTTAAGCAGAAAGTCACCCAAGGGTGTGGTCTGAAGGAAAAACAAACAGAGATGTTACTGAAGGTTAATAAGAAAAAAAGACTGAAAATTGGGAGAGCTGGACAGTCTCCATTTATGCAATTTCTTTTTCTTTTTTTTGAGTCGGGGTCTCACTTTGTCACCTAGGCTGGAGTGCAGTCATATAATCACAGCTCACCACAGTCTTGACCTCCTGGGCTCAGGTGGTCCTTCCACCTCAGCCTCCTAAATAGATGGGACTACAGGCATATGACACCATGTCCAACTTAATTTTTGATTTTTTGTAGAGATGAGGTCTTGCTATGTTGCTCAGGCTAGACTAGAACTCCTGGGCTCATATAATCCTCCCACCTCAGCCTCCCAAAGTGCTGAGATTACAGGCATGAATAACCTAGCCCAGCCGCAAATTCATTTTTCGGATGAAGACACAGTAGTGAAGTCAAAATAGAGAAGTAGGGACACCAGCATTGTGGGAAAGAGAATAAATTAAATAGAAGACCCAGGATGAATTTGGAAGGATAGGTGAGGGCTGCAAACTGGAGCTGCTGAAGGGAAGGGGTATTTTGCCAGGATCTAAGAATTCTCCAGGCTAGGATGAGGTAACTGCTTTCCCATCAGAGATGTTAGCGCTTCTGTCTGTAAAACAAGTGCTATGGTTTGAATGTGTCCATCAAAGTTCATGTGTTGGAGGCTTGATTCCCACTGTGACAGTGTTGAGAGGTGGAACCTTTGGGAGGTGATAGACCATGATGGCTGTGCCCTCATGAGTATATTATCTTGGGAGTGGGTTTCTCATTAAAAAAAAAAATCAGTTTGGGGGCCAAGCACAGTGGTTGAGACCAGCCTGGGCAACATAGTGAGACTTCATATCTACCAAAAAAAAAAAAAAAGCCAGCATGGTAGTACATACCTGCAGTCCTAGCTAAGACAGGAGGATCCCGTGAGCCTAGGAGTTCGAAGTTATAGTGAGCTATGATTGTACCACTGCACTCCAGCCTGGGTGACAGAGCAAGACTTTGCCTCTAAAAAATTTTTACTTTTTTAAAAAAGGATGAACTAGGCCTCGTTTTATCTCTCTCTTGCCCTCTCTTTGTCTTTCTGCCATGTTATGATGCAGGAAAAAGGCCCTCACCAGGGCCTACTGTGATATTGGACCTCCCAGTCTTCAGAACTGAGAAATAAATTCTGGTTCTGTGTAAATTTTGTGGTACTGTTACAGCAGCACAAAACAGACTAAGCCAACAAGCAACAATGTGAGTAGAAATAGAAATAGACATAACAACAAAAATAGACATAACAAATGAAGTGTTTGTGTCCAGATTGGGTCCACAAGCCCTTATCTGCACAAGACAGACCCTAACATCTTAAGATTTTAGTACTTTTGGCAGCAAAAATTGATCTTAACTACCATAAGGATATTTCAAGTTTTCTTATATTCCACTTAGCTGATTATTCACAGCTATCACTGCAGAAGTATGAGTATGTCTGATTTCTAGTTCCTGCTGCAGATTCTGTGATAGGGCTTGTTATGGAATTCTGTTTTGTCTTGTTTGAGCTTGAGTGTCACTCTGTCGCCCAGGCTGGAGTGTAGTGGCACGCTCATGGCCACTGCAGCCTCGACCTACCCCATGGGCTCAGGCAATCCTTCCGCCTCAGCCTTCCAAGTAGCTGGAACCACAGGCACATGCCACCATGCCTGGCTAATTTTTAAAATTTGTTGTAAAGACGAGGCCTCGCCATGTTGCTCAGGCTGATCTCGAACCCGAGTCAGGCAATTCTGTGGCCTCTGCCTCCCAAAGTGCTGGGATTATAGGCATGAGCCACTGCCCTGGGTCTATACTGAATTCTAAAGCACATCTATCCCTAAGGGGCTGTGGATCTGTATTTTAAGGTGGCGGAGTTATCCTCTCAGGGGCATGTTTCCCTATTGTGCAGGTAGGTAGCTAATTCAGTCAGTGTAGGCTCATTTGTGGTTGGAAAAAAACTGGTGCTCCCTAGAGAAAAAGAGCAGGTTGAAGCATTATGGGTCCCTTCCTTCCAAGTGGGACAATAACTCCAGGTGTACAGGGAAAGCACAAAGTCGGTTCTTTTCATTGCGCCGCTACTACGGCCTCAAACTGCAGAGGGAAAAGCGTAAAAGCACGTTCAGTTAGGTTTGTAGCCGAGTGACCGTCACTTGGCATTCATTTATTTTTGTATTCATTAACTTGTGCATTCTTCATTCATAGATCAGACTTCTGTTGGGGGTCCACACACAGGGTCAGAAGACCGCGTCTGGAGGGAGACTGTCGTGAATCCAAGATTTCTCAGAGAAGCCCACTAGCTGTGACAAGAACTGCAGAGAATGTGCACGGGGCCCTTACTGAGTCTCCTCGGCCGGGTCAGCAAGGCGATCCGCCGGCTGGGTGGGACCAAAAGGCGCGCTAGGCCACGCCTCAGGGGCCTCCCCGAGGGAGAACAGAAGGCCTGTTCCTCCCTAGTTCCGCTCGTCCACCAGTGTGCGCGGAGCTCCAACGCTCAAGCCTCGACGCGGGTCGCCCGGCTAGAATTGGCTGGATCAACTGGCCCACCACATCCGCTTCCGGCCTTGGGGGCGGGGCTTCCGGTCGTCGGAGGCGAGGCGTTTCGACTGTCAGGGGCGGTCCGGCCCGGAAGCGGCGGCGGCTGGGAGACAGCGGGGCTGGGCCATGGCGGCGAACCTGAGCCGGAACGGGCCGGTGCTGCAGGAGGCCTACGCGCGGGTGGTCAACGAGAAGTCGCCGACCGACTGGTGGGCGGCAAGGCGGGCCGGGGGATGGGCTGGGGACCGCCTCAGTGTTGGGTCTGTCTCGGGCGAGCCAGATGGGGGTGAAGAAGGGAGCGCGAGCACGGAGCGGCGCCGCCGCAGGTGGTCTGGGCCTCACCAGTCTGCGCGCCCCACCCCGCGGCGGAGGTGCTGTCCCAGCCTTGTCACTCCTTTCCCTGCCGTACGTGGTCTGGTTAAACCTGACTTGGGGGGGCCCGGTGAGTCCCCAGCCCCTCCCCCTGCCGCTCGCCACCTATTGTCGGCTCCCCGGGCTTCCATGTTGGATTCTTGGACTGGTTGTGCTTGCTGGCTTTGCTAGCTTTCCAGCCCTGGAACCTCCCTGGAAAAGGGGTCCTGACCAGCCCTCCCCAGGAGGGCAAAAGCCGCGCCCGGTTTCTTCCAAACGCTGTGTTCAGGGATGGGCCCTTTGAGAGCGTTCTGGCAGCCGGCTGGGAATGTGAGCCTTGCCCTGAAGGCTTCAGACAAGGAAGTCAGGGGTCTGGGTCCCTGGCTCTCTGTGAGTGTGGTCTTCAGAACCTCCGTTTCTCCAAGAAGAGTACTCATCACTCTGCTTGAGCTACGGGACGATGTATGAAAGTAGGATGCTGCCTGTCTGTTTGGAAAAAGGGAATACCGTCCACTCAAGACATCCTCTGCTAGGCTGGCAATGTGTAGATCTCATAATGCAGTTGGTGGAGCTTTACAGTGCTAGAAGCTTGCACCAGATGTTTCTGGGATAAGCCTGGGCAGCCCCCACACAGGGTCAATTCTGAGGTCTGCAAATGTGCTTGACTATATATGGTAATTCTCTGTCACTTTCCCATTTGCTTACATTGCTTTCACTCACCAGTTTTGAGCACTCACAGTTCTGAGAAATATGCTGAGTATAGTGTGCTAAGGTGACCAACTCTGGGGAATAGGAACTGGACCTTGAAGGCTAAGTCGTGGTGGTGCTGCCCTGTGGTGACCCCTGAGGCTCTCTCAACTGAGTCCACTCCCCCCACCCCTTGTTTGGGGCCATCTCCACTTGTCTAAGGGTTTTGTTGTCTCCTCTTCACTTCCCTTGTACCTAGCATGGAGTGGCTTTGTGCAGTGTACTGTTGTGACACTGAGGACATTGTAGCTTTGTCTTTCCTTCAGCCCCAGGCCACTAGGGGAAGAGCTTTAGAACACCAGTTGCTTGGGTCTGTGGAGTTTCTTAGACTCTTGTCTACAGGCCCTGCATGACCCAGATCCCACCACTCCTGCTTACCATACTGTGGCCACACCTGTTTATCACCACTCTGGCCGTCTTTCTCTTCCTCAAACTTATAAGCTGGTTCCTCTTCAGAGTCCTTGCTCATGCTACTTCCTTTACAGAAAACACACTTCTTCCACATCATCCCAGGTGGTTCCCCAGCCTTCTCTTCCCTGCTCCAAGGTTGCCTTCTCAGAGAGGCCTTCCTCGATTCCTAGCTCCCTGCGCAGTCTCGGTCTCCCATCACCTTGTTTCACTTCCACCAGACACAACACATGCCTTATGAGTTTTCCTGTCACCTTTTATCTCTTCACTGCAAGGAGTGGGCCTTATTCTGTCCCCAGTACCTGGTGCAGGATTGTTTTATGTACTAGGTGCTCAGATGAAGGATGGATTGAGAGCTGTACAGAAAAAAAAAAAAATGGTGAGGATATCAGAGGAAGAGAGTTGGTTCCCAGTTTGGTGTGTTGTAAAAGGTTTCATGCACAGAGCAGTGGCATTGGGCTAAACTCTGAGACCAATGGGGTGGGGAGCAGCCATGATGTGAAAGCTCCATCTAGGATCTGTGTCCTGTCCCCTCTTCCCCATATCTCGGCATGGCTTGTTACCACTTGGTTTATGTGTCACCTTCTGTACCTGCTTTACACCCTGACAGTACGTTAGTGTTAAATGTATGTTTTTCTCCATTTAGAGGGTAAGTTCTGTGGACCGGATCTTTTAGGGGATTGTTCATAGTTGCATTCCCATCACCAGTAAGCAGCAGATTCTCAATACTTATTTTCAGAAGGAATAACTGAATTGTAAGGTTCTTGACACCCTATATTTCATTGCTTTGCCCGGGCCAGTGCATCATGTTTTTTTTTATGTTCATTTGAAAGAAGGGCAGAACTTGACTGAATGTGGGAATGAGCCTCTGAACTGAGAACATTCTTGAAGGTGGCTCAGACTGGATCCTGGGATAGAGGTGCATGAAGTCAGAGAGATAGGTGTAGGCACTGAGCTTGGCTCTTATTAGCTGCTGGATCCCTTCTTGCAAGAGGGTTGAGCTGCTGTCTTCTGCTCCCTGCTGCTTTTGCCAGTTCCCTGTCTTCTGAAAGCCAGGGCTTTGTGTTCATCAAAAGGAATGGGCTTCTTTCTTCCAGGGAGCTCTTCCAGCTCAGGCCGACAGTGCACTACCTCACAAATCTTTCTCGTTTCTGTGTGGTCTTTTCTCTAGTCTCTTTTCTCTGAGTGTTTTTTTCTCAGTGTTTCTTTCTGTATTTTGTCTTCTCCCCTGTTAAGCAATGGCTGTTTCCTGGTGGCCTGTCTCCTCCCTACCAACCAGATCTATTGGGCCTGGATCTAATTTCTTCCACTGTTCTCAGGCATAGGCATCTCTGACTAGTGGCACTGGCAGGTCAAAGCTGATTTGGTTTTTGTCCGCATGTTTACCCCTGGAGCCTCCGTCTGGGCTGCCTCAGCAGGCTTGTGCTTCAGGGCCTGGGGAGATGACACTGGACTGCATTTTGCTTTTTACTTGAATTCCAGTGGGTCAGGGCCACACCCTTTGTCCACCAGCACTGCAGGTGGTGTTGGGTTGCTACAGGGTTGGTGCTAATTACTGGCTCTGTGCATAGTGCAAGGAAGCTCTCACACAGCTTATCTTTTGGAGACCATCTCTTCCAGAATGTTCTCCTTGAGAAAACTTTGACCCCAGGCTTAGTGGCTCATGCCTGTAATCCCAGCACTTTGGGCGGCGGAGGTGAGAGGATTACCTGAGCCTAGGGGTTCAAGACCAGCCTGAGCAATTTGACAAGACCTCATCTCTACAATAAATAAAAAATTAGCTGGGCATGGTGGTGCGCACCTGTGGTTCCAGCTACTTGGAAGGCTGAGGCGGAAGAATCACCTGAGCCCAGGAGGTCAAGGCTGCAGTGGCTGTGAGCATGCCACTGCACTCCAGCCTGGGCGACAGTGAGACTCCGACTAAAAAAAAATAAAAATTAAAAAAAAAAGAGAAACCTTTGTTCTGGTCAGGGGACCATCGATGGCCTAGTTTTTATAAAATTTACTGTATTCTCAAAATCTCTGGAGTACATGTTTATAAGCCCAGTATCTTCCAGAGTTCTTATGACTAATTAGTCTTACAGGAGAAGAAAGGCATGGCCCCGGTGTTAGCCATTGAGTGATAGGCTCTACTAGGTAGATAACTTGCCTGTGGAAGCCTGTTCATGAGGGGCTTAGCAGGTCTATGATTTTAAGTGTGTGATTTCATGTTGTGTTATTGCCGCTGTGGTTTCTGATGCTGAGCACAACTTATAAGACTTCACGTTTGCCAGAGAATCTCCAGGCTGAAAGGACCCGCTACTCTCCCATTCAGGCTTGACTGGAGCCAGGGCAAACGTGCATGGGAATGGCGGGCAACCTTCAAGGGGCCTGCCATGAATATTTCTCCCTGTTTCTCTGTCTGGGTGCAGGAATATGTAGGTATGTTTTGTTTTTTCAAATTCATGCACCTGGTACCCAGGTGAGTATTTCATTCATGAATGTATAGAAGTCATTATAAAACTGTACAGCACGCATTTTCTTCACAGTAGATGTATGCTCCCATCTTCATGGCCTTGTCCCTCACAACAAGTCTCATAATGTCAGGCCAGCATCATCCCAGCTTCAGAGCTGAGATGGCTGCACAGCAGTCTACCGAGAACCTGCCTGACAGGTCAGAGCAAAGCGGGAACGAACTTGTGTCCACCCATGGTGTTACTGTCAGGTCAGCATCTTTGGGGTACAACAGGAAGCCATGGTAGGTATGGTGAGGAGAGATAGAACTGAAGGTGCTGGCTACAGAGTCCATTTGTATTTTGTTTCAGGGCTCTCTTTACCTATGAAGGCAACAGCAATGACATCCGTGTGGCTGGTACGGGGGGTGAGTATGATTCCTGGGGACACCAGAAGGCAGGAGGGTGAGGTGTGTAAAGGAGAGAGGATTATGTTTCTCAGCAGTCCATAATGACTGGCATTTTAGCTATTGTGTGAGAGGAATGGCACTCCAGCAACATAGGTGTTCTCTACATGTGGCTCAACTGTGGTGACACCTGCCCCCACTGAGGATGGAGAGTGGGCTCGAGCCTGCCTCTTCCAGGCCCACTCCACATCAGCTCCATTGGGGGTTCCATGGCACCCTGATTGGGATGTGGACCACCAGCAGGCAGTACAGGGGTCAGAGCCTTTGACCATCTTGGTCAATTCAACAGCACAGGGCCTTGGACACTCATTGGCCACTTTTGGCAGGCTTTGGGTTTTAGATATTGGTAAATGAAAACATTCCTCCTGCCGGGTGTGGTGGCTCACACCGTAATCCCAGCACTTTGGGAGACAGAGGTGAGAGGATTGCCTGAGCCCAGAGGTTTGAGACCAGCCTGGGCAACTTGGTGAGACCTCGTCTCTACAATAAATAAAAAAATTAGCCGGGTATGGTGGTGCGCGCTTGTGGTTCCAACTTCTTGGAAGACTGAGGTGCAAGGATCACCTGAGCCCAGCAGGTTGAGACTGTGGTGGCTGTGGGCCACGAGCATGCCACTGCACTCCAGCCTGGGTGACAGAGTGAGACTCCTACTCAAAAAAAGAAAACATTCCTCCTTGACTTTCTTTGCCTGAGGGTGCAGGGCAGTGCCTTTCTCTGAGTCTAGTTGGGGAGAGATGAGAGGGAAATCGGCTGGCTCACGGGTAACCTGTGTCCAGGGACTTGTAGCTGGGAGGACGCCTGTCCCAGAGCTGGTGCTGGTGAACGAGAATGCTCACAAACACATTCTCTTCTGCCTTCTGCCCTGTTCATGCGTCGAGTGCACCCAGGGGCCCCACCCTCACTGTGAGAGTCAGTACCACTGCAGATGGTCATGGGGGAGGCCTCACTGGGGTTCTCTATGGGAAGTACAGGCTCTTTGCTGTCACTGGGCAGAAGCTATTGGAGAAGATTAGGCCAACAACAGTAGGGTGCCACCCATGGGCCCCTCAACTGATAGCCCTAACTGTTACCCATCCTAAGGCTAGCTCACTTCTTCTCTGGAACTTGCCTGAGCCCCACCCAACCCCCCACCCCTCCATCCTGGGCCGGACACTACTTCATTGTTCAGTGAGTGCTCGGAGTGTGTCCTCCATGGTTTGGTGACCCATTGTCATCAAAATCTCTTCTCACAAACCTCTTTTCTCTGAGGCATTCTCTCTCTAGAAGAATTGCCATTGAGTGGTAGAGTCATGTGACACAGCAGTTGATTGGGAGTTGCAAGGATCAGCAACTCGAGTTTTCTGTCATCCCCAGTGGCACAGAACAGGGCTCTGCTGCAAATGCAGCAAGTTGCTGTCCCCAGAGCGGGGACTCATGACTGCCTTCACTTATATGGTGCCCCGGAGTCAAAATACCTGATCAGCTCCTCCTCATAACCTGGGAAGGTTTGGGGGACTAAACATCATCCCCTGCTCCGTCCAAATCTGTGAGTGCTGAGCCAGTTGAGTGTAGCTGTAGGGCATTTCATCTGGTTCAACTGTCTGTGTGGCCCTGGAGTCTGAGCAGATGCAGGTACAGGTTGGTGACAACAGGCCCTACTGTTCTGGGGCCCTTTGTGACATCAGGCAACATTAAATTGCTGTAGAGATCCTCTATTTGGAAATCGGGCAACTGGTTTTCAGGGGAGATGACCCTTTGTAAAATTTTTCAGAATTACCTATGGGTTTGAGGAGTGGGTTTTAAACTAGTGTGGATAAAAAAATTACCTGAGGTGCTTGTCAGAATTGCAGACCCCTGGGTCCCACCAGGCTCTCATAAATCAGTTATGTGGGGCTGGGGCTTAGGAATCTGATTTTAAACATACCCCCAGGAAGATTCTGAAGCAGGTGGGAGGTGAGAGTCCCTGGTTTAGAGGCAGCTCGGTTTTAATTCTTGGTGGACTAGGCTGGGGCCAGCAAGGAGCACCAGGACCACCCTTGACCCTCCTTGTGACTCTGCTGCAGAGGGTGGCCTGGAGGAGATGGTGGAGGAGCTCAACAGTGGGAAGGTGATGTATGCCTTCTGCAGAGTGAAGGACCCCAACTCCGGCCTGCCCAAGTTTGTCCTCATCAACTGGGTATGTGGAGCTCGTCTGATCTAGTTGTAACCCAGGAAATTCCACTATCTTTCTTGCTTTGACTTGGCTTCAGGAATAAAGTGACACAACTTGGAAGATCATCAGAACGGCTCAGAGCTGGTGAACGAGCAGAATAGTTGATAAATTCATTGCAGCCCAAAGAATAGCTGTAGCCTTGCTATGCAGAATTCACCCTCCAAGCCCTGAGTTATTCATGCAAAATGGAATAAAAGCTGTCACAGGAAATTCTTGCCCCATTCCCTTTAGGGTAGTCATTCTGATGAAGTGGAGGGTCTGAGGGACTGCTCAGGAGCCTGGATTGCAGGGACAGGGGCTTCAGCAAAGCAGAGCCCCTTGGTGGGAACCAGAAAGACTCAGGAAGCACCCACACAGTGAAAGCCAGCAACCATTCTGCCCAGGGAGTGTCCATGAGTCCCATGGAAGTGTGGGAACCTGCCTCACCTGTGTGACGCAGTTGGAACAGGTTCTGCTTTGGGGTTGCTGTTTTCTCTTTTCTGGGACAGGGAAGTTATTGGGTCCCTAAGGGAGGGAAGTGGCTTTGTGGGAGACCTAGGTCATGCTGGGCATGCGTGTATTGCAGACTGGCGAGGGTGTGAACGACGTGCGGAAGGGAGCCTGTGCCAGCCACGTCAGCACCATGGCCAACTTCCTGAAGGTGAGACTGGGAAAGATCTGTTTCTTTCAAAACAGGCCTCCTTGCAGACTTGAGCTCCCTCAGGTTCCTGGGTGCGAGTGAATGGGAATCTGAGCTGGAGTCAGGAGTGTGCTCACATCTGTGTTCCATCTGCCCTTCAGGGCACGACCAGAGGCTACACCACTCCTGGCCAGTGAGTGCATGGGAGGCCAGGGTGTGGCCAGAGCCACCTGCAGGCTGGCTTCAGTGGGGAAGATGAAGGACCATGCTGGACATGGTGCAATGGGAAGGCTGGGCTCTGGGTTCATTTTGTTTTATGATCACTCTAAACAGCTTAGCAGTGTTGTCAGGATTTGGAGGAAGGGGAGAACTGCTTGTATCTACCACCTTAGCATGCACATGCTTTTTGATGTGTCCCTTTCCAGTCCATTTCGGCATGTGTTCATGTCAGCCCTATAATCGAACCTTTTAAAATTTTTGTATCAAGGGCATTTGTTGGTCACTTGTCAGGTGACTTTTTGCATTTCTTTGGTTACTGATGAGAACCAAAGAAAGTTCTCATCAGTAACCTTTTTGGCTTCTGGTTCTGCCAACATTTCTTCGGATATACCTCAATTTCCAACTGGGAGCTAAAAGAGAGCATTCCAAACTTACTAGGTATACACACAGGTTGAATATCCTTTATCTGAAATGCCTAGCACCAAAAGTGATCAGGATTTTTTTGGATTTTAGAATAATTACATTATATACTTTTCAGGTCAGAATCCCTAATCCGAAATCTGAAATGTTCCAGACTCTGAAGGTTTTTGAGTACCAACATGATGCTTAAAGAACATGATCATTGGAGCATTTCAGATTTTGAATTTTCAGATTAGGGATACTCAAACATATAGTAATAGTGAATGAGGTCATGGGTCTGGCTTTTCAGGAAGAAGTCAGTGGCTCATGTTTTGTAGAAAATGTGCTTGTTTCCAGGTAGCATTTCCCCCCCCCAGGATTTAAAAAAATAGACATATAAGAGCTGTACATATTTTTTGGTACATGTGATATTTTGACACCAGTATATAATGTGTAATAATTAAATCAGTGTAAAATTAGTATATCTGTAATCACAAACACTTATCTTTATGTTGGGAGCGTTACTGTTTTTCTCTTCTAGCTATTTTGAAATATACAATAAATTATCGTTAACTATAATTTCCCTGCTGTACTGTTGAACACTATAACTTTTTCTTTCTATTTAACTGTATATTTGTGCTCATTAACCAACTTCTCTTCATCTCCCCTCCCCCATTCCCTTCCTGGCCCCTCTGGTAACCACCATTCTATTCTCTACTTCTATGAGATCTGCTTTATAATTTTTTTTTTTTTTTTTTTTGAGTTGGAGTCTCACTCCATCGCCCATGCTGGAGTGCAGTGACACACTCAACGGCCACTGCAGCCTCCACATGCTGGGCTCCGGCAATCCTTCTGCCTCAGCCTTCCGAGTAGCTGGAACTACAGGTGCATGCTACCACACCTGGCTAATTTTTGATTTATTTTAGAGACAAGGTCTTACAAAGTTGCCTGGGCTGGTCTCCAACCCATGGGCTTAGGCAGTCCTCTCGCCTCGCCCTCCCAAAGTGCTGGGATTACAGTCTGAGCCACTGAGCCCAGTTTTTTTTTTTTTAATGAAGTCAGCATCTCATTCTGTCACCAGGCTGGAGTGATACAGTGGCAAGATTACGGTCCATCACAATCTCGACTTCCTTAGCTCAGGCAATTCTTCTGTCTCAGCCTTTGGGTAGCTGGGACTATAGGCACATGCTACCATGCCCAGCTAATTTTTAAATTTTTTGTAGAGATGAGGTCCACTGTGTTGACCAACTCCTGAGTTCAAGTAATCCTCCTGCCTTGGCCTCCTAAAGTGCTGGGATTATAGGCGTGAGCCACACAATTATTATTATTACTAGTATTATTTTCTATTGAGTTGAGTTCCTAATATCTTCTGAGTTTAATTAATCTCTTGTCAGATGAATAGTTTAAAAATATTTCTTCCAGCCGGGCTCGGTGGCTCAGCCTGTAATATCCCATGCCTTTGGGAGGCTGAGGTGAGTGGATTGTCTGAGCCCACGGGTTCGAGACCCGCCTGGGCAGCGAGACCTCATCTCTACAATAAAAAATAAAAAAAAAATCAGCCGGGCGTGGTAGCGCATGCCTGTAATTCCAGCTACTTGGAAGGCTGAGGCGGAAGAATCGCTGTAGCCCAGCAGGTGAGGCTGCGGTGGCCCGGAGCGGCCACTGCACTCCAGTCTGGGCAACCGAGTGAGACTCCAACTCAAAAAAAAAAAAAAAAAAAAAATATATATATATATATATTTCTTTCTTTCTGACCAGCCTAGGCAACTTGGCGAGACCTCATCTCTACAGTAAACCAAAAAATTAGCCAGGTGTAGTGGCATGTGTCTGTGGTTTCAGTTACTTGGAAGGCTGAGGTAGAAGGATTGCTTTAGTCTAGCAGGTTGAGGCTGCAGTGTCTATGAACGTGCCATTGCACTCCAGCCTGGGCAACAGAGTGAAACTCCAACTTAAAAAAAAAAAAAAAAGTCCTCCCTTTCTGTAGATTGTTTATTCACTTTGTTGATTGTTTCCTTTGCTGTGCAGATGCTTTTTAGCTTGATATAATCCCCTTTGCCTATTTTTGCTTTTGTTACCTGCGCTTTTGAGGCATTTTACACCCAAAAGCTGCCCAGACCAAAATCCTGGAGCATTCCTCTGTTTTCTTTTAGTAGTTGCATAGTTTCAGCTCTTACATTTAAGCCTTTAATCCATTTTGAGTTGATTTTTGTATATGGTGAAAAAATGGGGGTATAGTTTCATTCTTCTGCTTACGGATATCCAGTTTTCCTAGCACAATTTATTAAAGAGACTGCTTTCCACAGTGTATGATTTTGGCTTCTTTGTTGAAAATGAGTTAGCTGTAAGTGCATGGATTTATTTCTGGGTTCTCTGTTCTGTTCCATTGGTCTATGTGTCTGTTTTTATGCTAGTACCATGTTATTTTGGTCACTGTAGCTTTGTATTATGATTTGAAATCAGGTGGTGTGATGCCTCTAGCTTTGTGCTTTTTGCTCAGGATTAATTTAGCTATTCAGGGTATTTTGTGGTTTCCAGATGGCATTTAAAGTTAGTTTTCATTGACTAGAAGGAAGGCCTTTCATGTAGATCATGCCTGGGTCATCTACTGCTCTGCAGCTGGGAATATACAGCTCCTACAGAAGGAGCCCTGGAATGCACCATGGAGGGTAAGGGTCTCACAGGCTTCACGCTGGTTTGTCAGAGTCGTCGAGGGGAGCTCATGCCTCAGCTCCCAGCAGCCAGACAGATGCCTCCTGACCCCTGTTCTGTGAGCACTGGTGGTGTGTGCTGTTCAGACTGATGGGAATTTGGCCTGTCTTCTCCTGGGCTAGCAGAGCCTTTCTTTCAAGTGCTGCTCCCACTGCAGGGGGCCCACGTGACCATCAATGCACGGGCTGAGGAGGATGTGGAGCCTGAGTGCATCATGCAGAAGGTGGCCAAGGCCTCAGGTGCCAACTACAGCTTCCACAAGGAGAGCGGCCGCTTCCAGGATGTGGGGCCCCAGGCTCCGGTGGTGAGTGCTGCCTTTCGGTTGCTTTGGGCCCCAAGGGCAGGGGCTAGAAATGTGTAATTCCCAGCCTCCAGGCTGACTGGGCCCCTGCCTGCCCTAGCTTCTGCATGCAGATGGTAACTCTGGAGCCATGGTGGGCACCCACTGACAGATGAGCAGGAATAGTCCTCTGATTCTGCCTGGTGGCTGAACTCGCTATTCTGGAGCTTTTGTCTGGAGCCCACCCTCTGTGGCCAGAATGACGGCTCTGCAGGGATGCAGAGCTCTTATAGTCAGTCCAGCTGCCCTTGAGGCCATGGTACCAGCATGTCCTGGGCAGTCCATGGAGGTAGCTGCTATCGAGGAACTTCAGGTGGCATCAGTGCTGAGCCCCAAACCAGAGCAGACCCCTCTGGTGGTAGAGACACACATGTGGGCTGGGTGGAGCTGATGACTGGGAACTGTGTTCTCAGACATGCGGGTGGGATCTGTGGAGATTCCTGTGGATGCTATTGTGTTAGTCAGCTATTTGAGAGTGGCCCCTGGCCAGAGGCCTGCTTCAGAACTGTCCAGTCCAGGAGTTTGCAGGTAGAGCCGTGGGGGCCTTTCTTGCTCTGGCTCCCATCCATGAGGGTAAGGTGCCACCAGAGACTCTTCCAGTGTTGTCTGGGATTGAGTGTCCCCATTGGGGCAATGTCCCAGGCTTGTTTCAGGCCACCTTGGTGTTTGTCTCCTTGAAAGTCACTGGGCAGTGCTCTGCTATCTCTGCCAGGCCTAGTCCTAGCACCTGCGCTCTGGCGAGTCTAGTGAATTCTCTCTTCCAGTGACTGAGAGCCTGACCTGCTGACCTGGGCCCAGGTTGCTAGTGAGTGCTCTGTTCCCCACAGGGCTCTGTGTACCAGAAGACCAATGCTATATCTGAGATCAAAAGGGTTGGCAAAGACAGCTTCTGGGCCAAAGCTGAGGTGAGTGCTGCCTGTGGCATGCCAGGTGTGTGGGAGTGTTCTACTTGATATGTCTGTTTTCTCCATAACAGCGAGTTCATGTAGCATCTGGTCTCTTCAACGCCTCTCTACAGATGATTAAACTGAGACTTAGATCAGTTAAGTCCGAAAGCTAGTGAGCAACTGGTTCTGGCAACTGCTCTTGACCATGCACCTGTGGGACTCAGTCTGGGGCCGGGGGTGAGGCTGAGGGCCAGCATGAGCTGAGCAGGCAGCGGCTCTCCCTGCAGAAGGAGGAGGAAAACCGCCGGCTGGAGGAGAAGCGGCGAGCCGAGGAGGCACAGCGGCAGCTGGAGCAGGAGCGCCGGGAGCGGGAGCTGCGCGAGGCCGCACGCCGGGAGCAGCGCTATCAGGAGCAAGGCAGTGAGGCTGGCCCCCAGAGGTGAGCCAGAGGTGGGGGTTGACCTGGAGGTCTACCTCGGGCATCGCTGGGCACCTGCTCAATCCCATGGAGGTGGGGAGGATTGAGGGATACATCATGAGGGGCTGCAGCCGTGCCTCAGCTGTGTCTCTGTCCACCCCCACCCCCAGCCGGACATATGAGCAGCAGCAAGAGGTGGTTTCACGGAACAGAGAGGAGCAGGTAAGAAATGGATGCTCTGCTCATTTGGACCTGTCACAGTCACAGTCACAAAATCACCGCTCGTTTGGAAGTCCCTTTTCTTGGGTTGAGGGCTCAGCCCAGACCTGGGCAGAGGATGCCCTGCAGTCAATGAGGGCAGATTAGAATCTGGGCGTCCCAGAGGTGGCAGTGAAGAGGAAAGCCAAGGGTGGAAACTTCTGGCATGGTCTACAGCCTGGTCCTGGGGGAAGCCCTGTGACCCCTTGATTTGTTTCCTGGCCCCACACATCTTTGAGGGGCTAGGTTGGCCAACCAGCAGCTAGAGGGGCTGTCATCTAGGGAGAGACAGTGGAGGTTCTTGCCCACTGCCAGGGTCAACATGTGCTCCCCCACAGGAGTCTGCCACACACCCGAGAGAGATTTTCAAGCAGAAGGAGAGGGCCATGTCCACCACCTCTGTCTCCAGCCCTCAACCAGGTGAGACCTCCCTTCAGGCCTGGCCACGAGGCAGCGGCAGGCTGAGGGGCAGCCTGGGGTCCTGTGTGGGCTCCCCCGAGGCTAGTGGCAGATGTGTCAGAGGGTGATGGGGACAGATGAGCAAGGAGGAATGCCTGGGGCCTAGGTGTTTTCCTCCTGCCCTTGACCTTATCAGTGACTGTGCTGGTCACCTCTGTGGACCCCAAAGGACACAGGGCTGTGCTGTCCACCAGCTTTCCACACAGCACGTGTGTGTGTGTGTGTGTGTGCACAGGGCTGTGCTGTCCACCAGCTCTCCACACAGCATGTGTGTGTGTGTGTGTGTGTGTGTGTGTGTGTGTGTGTACACATGCCAGGCAGTGTTTCTGAAGAGATGCCATGTGTGTTGTTTACCTGGGTTTGCAGGCAAGCTGAGGAGCCCCTTCCTGCAGAAGCAGCTCACCCAACCAGAGACCCCCTTCAGCAGAGAGCCAACTCCCGCCGTCTCAAAGCCCAGGGCAGGCAAGGCGCTTGTACCCCTAGGGCACCCTGGGGGGGACAGTGGTGGAAAAGGGGGGATGTGTGGGAGTCAGAACCTGCTGCATTCCCGGTGCAGATCTCTATGAGGAGCCAGCGCCCCGCACTCCTCCGTGTTTGGTGCAGGCAGAAGAGGAGGCCGTGTATGAGGAGCCCCCGGAACAGGAGACCCTCTACGAGGAGCCTCCACTGGTGGGTTCCCTGCAGAAGGGGTGGGGCCATGAAGGGGCTGCACACTCAGGAATCTGGTCACAAGACATCTGGGTTTTGAGGGGCATACTACTGGTTTTAAAGCAGGTGTGGACTATTTTGTTGAATTTTGGAGCAGCCCTGTGTCCTCTGGGCAGCCATCACTTTATGGTAGATGCTGGATGCTGGGTGGGGAGAAACCTTGCAGCCCATGGTTAGGGGATTCACAGACCATCCTGTGGCTTCTATCCTTGGGTTGTGGTAGGGACAGCAACAGCCCCATAGCCTGCAGACTGCTTGCCCTCTGTGCGTCCCCAGCTTGATCTGAGCCACGTGGGGCAGGGCAGGGTTTGGGTGTAAGGGTGAGTCTGGGGTAATATCTTCCTCGTCCCTGGGCAGGTGCAGCAGCAAGGTGCTGGTTCTGAGCACCTTGACCATCACACGCAGGGCCTGGAGCTCAGTGGACAAGGACTCTGTGCCCGCGCCCTGTATGACTACCAGGCAGGTAAGGTGCCCGGCCTGGCCGTCACAGACCACAGGGTCCCAAGGTTAGGAGGCAAGAGGGTCTGGGGCTTTATGGGAAGATGGCAACTGAGGGGTCAGGAAAGAAGATGGGAGGTGCGTTAAGCAACTCTGGAGCAGCGATGACCATGGCACTGGAGCATCCGTCCCACACAGCCCAGGCCTTCCCTGTGTTCCCCATTCACTACTGACTGGAGGCTGGTGTGAATCCCAATTGCCATCCTTGTTGTGGGGCATGGAAATCTGAGCAGGGAGGTGGGCCAAGCCTGGTGGAAGCCTTGGGGAAGGGGCCAGAGGCGCTCCACGGAGTAGGCTGCTGGGTGTCTGTTCCAACCTTTTGTGGGAGCGCTCCGTAGGAAGGTGTGCCCTGGGGGTATGGTCACGAGCAGCACTGGGACAGGCTACAACTCCTTGTAGGCAGAGGCTTAGTGGGATAGTGGGGGGGGGGGATTTCAAGGAGGAAGCAGAGCTGCAGTGAGCTCTGCTGCAGGAGGAGGACGAGTCTGCTGGGGCTGCCCGAACAGGCGGGATGGGCTGTGGGAGGGATCCCCTGCTGCAGCATCTGGGCTTACCCTCCTTGCAGCCGACGACACAGAGATCTCATTTGACCCCGAGAACCTCATCACGGGCATCGAGGTGATCGACGAAGGCTGGTGGCGTGGCTACGGGCCTGATGGCCACTTTGGCATGTTCCCTGCCAACTACGTGGAGCTCATTGAGTGAGGCTGAGGGTCCATGTTTCCTGTCCCCTCTCAGACATGGCTTCCTTATTGCTGGAAGAGGAAACCTGAGAGTTCACGGTGGCACTCTTCCAGGAATGGGGCCCCTGCTGAGGATGAGGCCTCAGGGCTCCCTCTGGCTTGGGTGTCTCAGCCTGTCTCCCTAGATGCAGCTGTTTCCCCATGATTCCCAAACATGCTTCTTGCAGCCTCCCAGGCCCTCCCAGGCAGTCTGGATCTCGGCCCCAACAGGATATCGAGCCAAGCCCCGCCTGCGGCCAGCCCCCTGGTGACCTCTGAGTGGCCACTGCCAAGCTGGGGGAGGGGTTCTGAGCAGGGGTATCTGGAAGCTCCAGGCTGCCTTCTGCATTTATTTGCCTTTTTTCTTTCTCTCTCACTTCTGGGGTGGTGGCCACAACCATTTAGAATGACCCTTGGGAACTGTGAACTTAAGAAAATTGTTTTTAGCAGAGTTTATGACCAAAGCCAGAGTGGATCATGACAGTTTTGCTGACTCTGCAGCTAATGACTTTGCTAGCAGGGCAGTTGTCTTGTTGGAGCCTGCTCCATGCTCCCTGCTCCATTTCTCTGTCCCCCTGCCAGGCTGTGGAAAGTGGGAATGGCGACGGCCGAGCTCCCACCTCTGGGTACGTGAGAACAACAGACATGATGTGTTATTTGTGTGGCTCACTCAACGTCTGCTGATCCCGGTGTGTGCCTCTTAACTGACTCTGGCTTCAGGAAAAGTAACACAGAGTGGCCTTTGCCTGTTGTCTTCCCCTGTTTTATGTACCAGCCCATCTCTGTCTCTGGAGAACAGACTTGCTTTTGGACTAAGAATTGCCAGTTTGGTCCATACAGGCTCGCAGCTCTGACCTGCCCTTCTATAGCCTGTATGCTCCCGTGTGGGAACAAAACCCTGCCTGGGTGTCTGCATCTGCTTTGTGTCTGGGGTGTACACACTCACCCCCAGACCTCTGCAGCTAATGACTGACCACCAGGAAGAGGCATAAACATTAAGATGTGACTGAATTTGGAGCCTTCCTGCATTGTTTCTTCTGGGAGGGGCCAAGGGCTGCCCTGTTCCCTGCCGGGGGGGGAGGCCTCTGCCTATGTGGGTCGATGTGCATATGTGAAGTGAAGTGCCTGGAATCCACCAAGCATCTGGGGTCTCTTCTGTGTCCTGGATGTGATAGGCAGGCATGCTCATCTCAGCCTCGCCTGCTGGTCGCCTGGGATGAAGGCCACACTGTGGAGTCCACTGGCCCCACAGTGGCTGAGCCCAACCCCTCCTCCCATCCTTCCTGCCCTTTAGGCCTCTCCCCTTTCTCACCAGGGCTTCCTGGTTGTCCTGCCTTGAAGATGGTAACCCCTCACTGTGGAAGACTAGAGTTTAAGGTGTTGCCAGCTTTGAAGCCTCCTGTGAGCTGGTCTGTCCCCTCCCAGGAGGTGAGGCTCAAGATACCACTGCGGGGGCTGCAGGGACAGCAGAGGACCACCTATTCTCTGTAGGAGGTTGTGGGGGAAGTGGTGTCCTGTTTGTGCTCCTTTCTTCCTTTGGCTAGGGCTGGGTCACTCGGCTTCTTCTCCTTAGGTGTCCCCGAGCAAGCAGATTCTAGAGCATGGTTACCAAGTGGCTCTGAGGCTTCAGGGCCACCATAGGGGCTTGTCCAGAGTACACATTCCTGGAGTGGTCATAGCCCTGGCTCAGCCTCCTTACGACTGTGGGTGGGCTGCTCCTGGTGATATAGGCATGGGGGAATAGCTGTGGTCCCTGGTCTCTCAAGTCCCCATAGCTAATGGTGGAGGTCAGCTGGTAGAGCCAGCCTGTTAACCTGGCATACCTGGCCGCGCTGAACTCCAGGCAGTGGGAGGAGGTGCCTTTATTGCCCAAGCCCACCCCTCACTTGGCCTTGCCCTGGGCAGCCACAGCCTCCATGGCCTTCCGCACCGTCTCCTCATCACCCAGGAACTGCATGGGCTTGGTGGGCTTCAGTGATTTGTCCAGCTCATACACGATGGGGATCCCTGTGGGCAGGTTCAGCTCCATGATCGCCTGGTCCGACATCCCTGTGCCAGAGGAATGGGTGTCCTTAGCCCCTCTGCCCTCAGCCTGTCCATGTGGCAGACTCTGACCTTTACAGGCCACAGAGCCAGTCCTCCTGGCACCAGCCCTCTCTCCCTGACAGCAAAGTCACAGAAATTTACCTAAAGGTCAAGGCAAAACTGAGATAGACTGAGCAGCCCTACAGAAATAGCCCAGTGGTAAAAACAAATGGGGCCCTCAGCCCCACCTAAGCACCTGAGCCCTGTGGTGGTCTCCTCAGGCTGTGTAGTCTGGCCAGACTGAAGTTGAGGGTCAGGAAGACGTTTGCTGTTTGGTTTCTGAAGTGTTCTCAGTTCTAGACATCCTGAGCAGAGGAGCCAGTGAGGAACAGGGCTGGAGGAGGGACAGGAGGCCATGCAGGAGCGGGAAACCTGACCCTGTCTGACTCCTGCAGCCCCAGTGCTGGGAATAGCAGCTCGACCTTTGGTATTCGCGCCATTCCGCCCCTCCATGTGGGAGGGCTTACGAGTGTTCTCTGGGGAGTCAGAGACACTAACAACCACTAAAATCCTGTCACATAAACCACGGTACCGCCCCTTCCCCCAGAACAGACTGTAGGTCCATAGGGCTCCGTGAACCCCCAGAAGGTAAGGGCAATGGGTAGTCCACCATTCCGCTCCGGGCTCCAGTGCCAGGCACAAGGCATCCGTGGGTGGAGCGGGCATCCAGGGGAGGGCAGACTCAGGGCCAGCCAGGTCTTGATCCTGCTTGTCTGGGTGTTCTGGCTGGCTGCCCACTGGCCCCCAGGAGCAAAATGTTTGGGGCACACCCTGCTCCTGTCTTGCCTTTCCCAGATCCCAACTTGAAGGTCATTCAGATGCTAATTTAAACTGCCTGGTATCTGAGAATCCCAAGTAGGCAGCTGAGTAAAGGTGCCAGTTGCTCTGGGAAGGCCTCACCTCTCCAGTGACTCCCTGGGTCTGTTCGTCAGCCCTTGCTCTTTAGTGGGAGCCCAGCTGCAAGCCCAGAGTCTGGCCACTCCATACCCCTGCACCCCTCTCTTAACTGGTACTTTCTTTCCCTGGAGAAGGTGTCGGGAGGCAGGTGGTGGAGCATGAGCTGGAATTCTGAGGACCTGAGAGGGCAGGGCCCTGCTGGTGACCCTAGTTCAACATCAAGAGTCAGTATCAGGAGGGACCAAGGAGTTATTTTCCCCCACCGCCCTGGGAAAGGTAGAGGCCCAGCGACTGGAGTGGCTTGTCTAGGATTCCACAGTAAACGAATTTGGAGCCAGGTGCTCTGAGCACCAGCCTGCCCCTTTCCTAACTGTGGCTTAGGGTAAGATGTTGCCCTGGGAGCCTGCCTCCTCTCTGATCAAGGGAAGTTGATCGCCAGCCCTTGTGGAGGAGGCCACTTCCTAGGGGAGCCAGGCCCAGGGGCGGCCTGGGCACCGGGCACTTTACGTAGTGTCCCAGTGCCTACACAGAAATGAAACAAACATTGCACAAAACTTAGCAAAATGATTTCACCGTTCTCCCCGTTTAGTCAACAGGTGAAAAGCCCACATCTGGTAAGCTGCCCTTGGGAACTTTTGCTCAAATAAGAAGCTGAGACTGTCAGCCCAGCCACCTCCACCCCACACCCTCAATGAGGGTGGGCCTCACCTTCCAAGTGTTTGACGATGCCTCGCAGGCTGTTCCCATGGGCTGCAATGAGCACCCTCTTGCCGGCTGTGATCTGGGGAACAATCTCCTCATTCCAGAAGGGCAGAGCCCGGGCAATGGTGTCCTTGAGGCTCTCGCAGGTGGGCAGTTCCCCAGCCTTCAGGCCTGCATACCGACGATCCTGGGGGACACAGGAGCCCTGCTAGTCCCTCCCTAGACAGCCCACCCTGATCTGGCTCCCGACCCCATAGCCTCCCAGAGGCCTTCCCGGCAGCAGCCCACCTTGCTGATGAAGTTGTAGTAGGCGTGCTTGTCATCCATAGGGGGCGGAGGGATGTCAAAGGAGCGCCTCCAGATCTTCACCTGTTCCTCCCCATGCTTGGCGGCCGTCTCTGCCTTGTTGAGGCCCGTGAGGCCCCCGTAGTGCCGCTCGTTGAGACGCCAGGTGCGCACCACAGGTAGCCACATCTGGTCTGTGCCATCTAGAATGACCCAGAGGGTGCGGATGGCCCGCTTCAGCACCGACGTGTAGCAGATGTCAAACTCCATCTTGGCATCCTTGATGGCTTTGGCTCCCCTCTTGGCCTCCTCGGCCCCTTTCTCACTAAGCTCTGCATCAAACCAGCCACAGAAACGGTTCTCCTGGTTCCATGTGCTCTCGCCATGCCGGACTATCACGAGGCGGTGGGTGGCCATAGTGGCAGTGGGGAGGACAGGGGACTCTGGACTACAACACCCGTTTCCCAGCTTTATAACGGTCTGACCTCAGCCACAACACCAACCCCAGCCAACTGCCAATCAGCATTCCAGGCAGGGGCAGGTGACCAGTAGCAGAGCTGCAGGGTGGGGGTGGGGGCATGCAGGCCAAGGAACTAGGCTTAAAATAACCCCACTCAGGCACCAGCCCCTGGCCTGGGCTCAGGTGGCATGCCCCTTGTGAGCAGGTTCCCAGAGTCCAGGCCGGGTGGGGCTGCCAAGCAAAGCTGGGCGTGAAGGGCAGCAGTCAGCTGGGGGTGGCAGGGGCACAGGCAGCAGGAACAGAGGGGCCTTCCATGAGAAGATTCCTCCTTCAGGCCCTTCCCTGCTTAGGCAGAGGCACCAGAAAGAAAAAAAAAATCCCAACCCCTTTCTAGTCACTCTTAACAACTCAGGACAAGCCTGCACCTCAGTAGAGAAACTGGCACATTGTCACCCTGGAAGCTAAGGGGTGTGTGCACATATGTGCATGCATGTATGTAGGTTTGTGTTGTGCATGCATACTTGTCTGTTACATGTGTGCACATGCACATCACACATCTGTGCTGTGTGTGCTTGTCTGCATTGTGTCTGTGCAAGTGTGTAGTCTGCAATGTAAGTGCACACGCATGTATGCAGTCCAGTGCATGCAAGTTGCATGTACATGTGTGTGTGAGTTGCCAGAAGGTTCCCCCAGTGGCTTTGCTCTGCTGAAGCTGCATATTGATGGGGACCTTCCTCAGGCATCCTGACCCCTTCCTTGGCTCTCTGGCAGGCCCCCTCTATTCCAGCTCTGTCCACAGGCTGGTCCCTGCAGGAGCCGGTTACTGGGCAAGGCTGGGAGGGGCCCCTCCACAGACAGGAGGAGAGCTGGGGAGCCAGTGCAGGCCACAGCTTTGGGGAGAAAGGCCCCGCCTTGCAGAAGGCACCAGGCAGCAGCAGGGGCAAGGGGCTGGCGCCAAGCTGGATTTCCAGGACAACCGGGGGTGGGGGAAGTTCCATTTCTTGTGATTTTGTGCATATCTGCCATGCGCTCCCACTCCACTGTGCTTGCCCAAGCCGTGTTTGCCCTTCTCAGCTGAGACCACCTTGAAAAAGAAAGAAATCCAATGTTTATGCCACCTGAGGGGCCCTCTTGCCTTCTGGGGATGGGACAGAGGAGCACCATAGGTATTAGTAGGTATATGCTCAGCTTGGCAGGAGCACAAGATGTGGGCTGAGGGGTGCGTGCGGCAGCATGGAGTTGAGTTCAGGCCCAGGCCTGCTTTCAGGTTTGGGGGATGAGGTCCACTGGGCAGGAGGGGTGAGGACACCAAGGAGCAACAAAGTCACAGCTGTGGTCTTGAAGGCGCCTTGGCCAGATAGACCCCTGGGCATGGAGAGGGTGGGTGGGAGCCCAGCAGAGGGACCAGCTACCACTCTGAGACTTGTACCTGAGCGTGAGGAGACCTCAACGTGCCACCCTCCATCCCTCCTGGCCTTGGGCCTGTGAGGCTGAGGCTCTGTACCCCATCCTGGAACACAAGGCCCAGTGAGCAGAGTTGGGAGAACTTCCTGTGGGCTGGGAGACCCGAGGCTGGCAGGTGGAGCTCACCCCTCCTAGTAGTGTTATGTGCAAGTCTCACTGCTCTGAATCAATCCTAATTGAAGCCACGGCTGACTCACTGGCCCAACAAAATACCACTGAGGGCCGGGCCCTCAGGGAGTTCAGCAGGGGCCACACATGAAGCCCATGTTTCATGGAGAAGAGGGATCCTATGAGCAGCCAAACCAGCCCATTGTAGACATCACCAGGTGCTAGCAGGGAAGGCGCATGGGCTGGGAGAGATGGGGAAGAGCAGCTACTTCAGTGGGGGGCGTAAGGCCAGGAACAGCCCCTCTGAGGCAACATCTAGGTGGAAATAGAATGCAAAAGACCACCTATCCCTGTGGGGAGAGCATTCCAGGCAGAAGGGCAACAAAAACCCAAGCCCCAGAGAACAGCAAAACAGGCAGGGGCAGGAGCCATGAGGGGGGCATGGCAGAGGTGGGCTTTGTGTCCCAACACTAGTGGAATTGCTAGAGTTTGGAGCACAGTCACTTTTTAAAGTCACTTGTAGAGGCCAAAAGGAAAAACTGAATGCCCTAGGGGAGGCATTGGCTTTGTTGAGAATTAGGCCGCTTGGCCTGGGCCGGGTACAGAAGGGACAGCAAGGAACTGCCAGATGGGAGACACCAGCCTCACTGCCAACCAAGCAGGAGGTGTTGAGAAAGTGGGGGCTCCAGAGATGAGTTCAGGGCTGGGAAGGTAAGACCCAGCGTATGAGGCTTGGCTCCCTTGGCCCTTCTTTGATTCACTTGGCAAACATTTGCTGGGCTTCAGGAGTGTGCCAGGGCTTTCCAGCCATGTGGGTGCAGCAGTGGAAGGGCCTGCCCTGAGGGCCTCCATCCAGGAGCGTGTGGCATGGTGAGTGGTGAGGAGGGCTGCTGAGTCAACATGATGGTCCTGGGAAGGTGGAGGGAGCAGCTGTCCCCATCCCTCCCACTGACACCCACTGACAATCTTGGACATACACAGGGGCAGTTCTCAGGTAGTAGCAGGCAGATGAAAAAAGGAGACCAGATTCACAGTTCCACAGAAGAGTGATGAAGTAACCATTTTTCCTTTCCATATTGCCCAGCCTGGACTCAAACACAGCTTGAACCCTGACGTGCACCCAGTGTGGACAGAGAGGGCTCCAGGGGAATCTCTCTCTGAGGAGCAGGAAATGAAGTCCTTACAGTTCAGAGTTGGGGAATCCCCCCAGTTTTTTCCTTTCTTCCCCACCGCAGCTCCTGGGCAATAACATGGAGGTGGCAGAGGCATCACAATGATGGCAGCATCAGCTCCTGAAACCCAAGAGGAGAGCCCTATCCTCTGACCCAAGGAGCCATGGCCCCAAGAGCATGGGGCAAGTGCCTGCCGCATCTCCTCTGCGCTCTTGTACTGGGCCCTGGATGCAGCTGCAGGAAGCATGCAGCAGGGTGGGGAACAGAAAGCCCCAGATTTCTGGCTGGAAGTCTTGAAAGGTAGGCCCCAGGGAGCTCTAAAGTGTCAGGGAGAGTACAGACAAGGGAAAGATCGAGTGATTCAGTAAGTGACATGTGAACTCGGGCTCACTGCCAAATTGTGCATGTGGGAAATGACCCTAGAGGTACACCAGAGGTCCTAGACTGATGGTGTAGACACAGGATAATCTGACTAGTCGTGCAAATACTTTTTTTTTGAATTGGAGTCTCACACTCTGTTGCCCTGGCTGGAGTGCAGTGGTACACTCTCACAGCCACCACAGCCTTGACCTGCTGGGCTCAGGTGATCCTTCCAACTCAGTCATCCAAGTAGCTGTAACTACAGGCATGCACTACCACACCCAGCTTATTTTTTTATTTACTGCAGAGATGAGGTCTCACCAAGTTGCTCAGGCTGGTCTCAAACCTTTGGGCTCAGGCAATCCTCTCACCTTGGCCTCCCAAAGTGCTAGGATTATAGGCGTGAGCCACTGTGCCCAGCTGGCAAACACTTTAAACAGTCAACATTCTGCTCAGGATTTAAACAAGGTCCAGAATCTCAACATAATATTCAAAATACTCAGTATATAATCCAAAGTAACACAGAGTATGAAAACCAGGAAAATCTTATTAAAAAAGGATAATCAACAGAGTTCCACACTAATGACTCACATATCATAGAATGATCAGATAGACTCTAATGCAGCTGTTTATAAGTCTTCAAAAGTATGAGAACATTTTAAAAGTGAAAGAAAAGACAAATTGTCAGGTAAGAAACAGAAGACTTAAAGAGGGAAAATTGGAAATTTTAGAACCGAAAAATGCAATAACCAAAACTTAAAACCCACAGGGTGGGCTCAATAACAAAATGGAAATGACAAAGGATAGAGTAGACTTGATAGTCTGGGAAAAGATATAAATTTACAAATCAAGAAACTCAGTGAACCACACAAACTAGATAAACCAACAACAAAAATCCATGCTCAGACACATTCTAAAGAAACTTCTGAAAACTAAAGACCAAGAAAAATCCTAAAGTAAGCCAGAGGAAAATGATGCATTTCATGTAGGGGAACAAATCTGAAAGACTATGGATTTCTCATCCGAAAACCATGGAGGCCAGAAGGAAATAGAACATTTTTTAAATGTTGAAATAATTGTTACCCAAGAATTCTATATCCAACAAAAATACTCTTTAGAAATCAAAGTAAAATAAAGACATAAATAAGGAAAACTAATAGAATTCATAACCAAAGCATCTGCCTTAAAAGAAATGTTGACTCTTTACACTTGGCTGTTCCCTCTGAGGGGACGTTGTAAATCTAGCAATCTGCTTGGATGGCCAAGAGATTGCTGGTGATTATACAGGACAAGCATGCCAATGCAAATTTTTCAAAAATGTATGTTTCCTTGAAGTTTTCCACTCAAATTGCATGACAAAGCAAATAAAGAAATGGAATGCATACTGAGATATAAGTAGAAAAAAAAAGAATCAGCTGACATTACATAGACTGTGAAGTGCTTTCACAGTGGTGCACATACTGAACAATAAATTAATTACATATTAATGCGGGAGAAAGAAAACAAGACTGCCTTCTCTGCTCAAATAGAAAACACCAGGTGGAAGACATCAAATTATTATTGTACAACATGTGTCAATGAAACTCCAATGCATGTCAGTGCCTGTTTCACAGGTTACTACATGTTAGAAAAATACAAGATATAAAATTTTGATTTTTTTTTTTTTTTGGTCACAAAAATTCTTCAATGACCAAAATTCCATTATAAGCCAAATATCATTACAATAAAATAATTGGGGATTTTTCTTCTTCAAGAAACTTACCCACGGCAGGTCTTTCTGCATAAATCTTCCTTTTTCCTTCTCTTTTTCTCAATGATAAACTGTTTTAAAACTTAAAAAAGTTGGTCCCAATGTGAAGTGATTCATTTTTCACTATTT